AATACTTAAGAGATCCTAGGAAGAAGGCCATGCCCCCTGCTCCAGAGTAAAACAAAACCCCCCACAGACCATACCAAACTGATCTTGGGGTAAAATAGGATTTAATATAGTGATTGTTACTGTGACATCTGATTCTTAGAGGTTCTGATGAACAGAATTGTTCGCTCCCAGGCAGAGACATTGGGATGATGAGTAATATACATACAATATGTCACCTCTCTTATGTCACCTCTCTGCAGTTGTGTGTCTATGCCCAGCTTTCAATTGCCTGAGTTCGGTGGAGATATCATAAAATCTACTATAGTGTGGAATTGTCACATTGAATGCATACATTCAGCAAAGTGGTTCAGAACACAAATTTCCTTGGCAGATCAGAAAATCTCATTCTTACCCTCCCTGGAATGAAATCTGCCTCTAAGATTAATTGGGGTGACTGCAAGCATGCTTCTGCACCCTGTGCAGCTTATACATTGGACTAATCGGAGAAGACTGCAGAGGAGACTTCAGATGTTTCCTATGTTTTCAATTAATATTATACTAGAAAGAAGGGAGAAAGATTGTTAACTACCAGGAAGGTTATGTATTATCCAGACTTCATAATGAAAGCATTGAATTTTCTTTGGAAATCAGTCCTAGAGAGAGATGAGTTGGGCTGTTTTTAGGACTCTGGGTTAATGTGTGTGCAGTGGGTTTTCAACTTTGAAGCTAGTGGTTTGCTGACTGGCCTACATAATGAAGCAGAGGCTTGCAGGGAGCATGAATGTATTCCACATGCATCTGAGTCCCAGCTGGACTCCTAAGGTGTTAACAGACAAGGAAGTTCAGCAAAGCTGTTTGATTAGTACAATATGCAACTCCCTGCTAGGCAAGCCAGGGAGTTCTTATGTGTAGGTAGCTGAACCATATGCTGTGGGGGACTGCTGTTTGAATGAGTGTGGCAAGATACTCTCTAAGACAGCTCTGTGTGGGCATGTGGTATGTTTTAATACAGTAACTTTATTTATGCATTTTTATTCATCCTAGATATCAATATGGCTGGGGAGCCTAAACCAAACAGACCCAAAGGGCTGAAGAGAGCACCTTCCACCTTGTACAGGTAGGTCTTCAATGCTTCATCTCGCCTGAGGAAAATATCAGGATATTTTCAACAGTGGGTCTGAACCATAGATTTTTCTCCCTAGGTTGATAATTCACACTCATGGGATTGATGCTGTATGCTCCATGAAACCTCTGTGCCATAAACCCGGTGTTGTCCACTGTGTATTCACTTCTTCCTGATGTAACCTGTGTTAGAGTTGGGCTATCCAAACTGTTTCCATAAGCTGCCCACAGTCTCTATTGTAGGCTATAGTGAGTACAACTGGGTTGAAAGGATATGGCACTAGCTATCAGAGCAAGATATGACCAGATGACGCCAGAGAGGAAGCTGTGGTGTTGTGGGATTCTACACTGGGCCATCAGAAAGGAGGAGTGAATGGTCTATAGGACATAGATGCACATCAGAAGGATCTATGGGACATAGATGCTGGGAGAAGGTGCACCTCAAAAGAAAAGAGTTGGCAAATTCAGAAATTTTCATGTGTATTGAAAGATTTGTGCAGCATCACCCGGGCTCTGCTGATGATGAAACCTTCCCTCCCCCAGCCTCCCCCTTCATCTCCTTTTTAATTCACATAATTACTTTAAGCAAATCTTAATCTTCTTTTCACTTGCTGCATTTTAGCTCAGTTCCTATACCCTGAAAAGCCCCATCTGGAGATGAAAGGGAAACAAGCCATTGTCTCCTAAGTTATTATCCTAGGGCATTTGTACACAACATGGGGGTTTAATTCTCCCTAAATTGAAGTGTGGTTTTTTTAAAAACATCGCTTCAATTTAGGGTGAAGTAAACCCCTGTGTCATGTACACCCATGTCAGAGCCTGATCCTTACCTGCCTCTCCAGCAGCGGGGAGGGGAGAGCAAGCTGCTGGCAGGCAGAGTGGTCCCTGAACTGTGGGGGAGGCGCTGGTGCTTTCCTCCACAGCAGTGGCACTTCCCCCTTCCCCCCACCCCCAGGTGGTACCCGTCTGCAGGCACCAGGCTCTGGCAGTGCCAGGGGGCACTGCAGCTGTGGAGGGAAGCATCAGGCCCCTGCGCAGCTCAGGCAGGTAGGCAGACTCCGGGGGGAGGAGATCAGGCTTGCCCCTCTTTTTTTTCCCCTTCTGTGGAGTCTGCCTCCCCTGCCTGCTGCCAGGCTGCCTGCATGGTCTGCCTGCACAGCCCCTGAGCCGTATGGAACCCAATGCTTCCCTCCGTGGCTGTAGGGTAGGAAACTAAAACTCTATGGAGGCGTTTCACTTTGCAGTACCCCAGAGTCATTTGCTGAGTCCCAAAGTCATTTAAAGCTCACTACACCACTGAATGTGCTATAGCAGCTGGAATTAATGCGCAATACGCCATCGAATATGCAAACAGCAGTGCCATTAAAGTGATGCAGAAGGCATTTAACCTGCTTTAAACCCACTTTAAAGTGTCGTCTACCACTGCCCTGAGGCCTCTTGTTGTTGCCGAGATCAGTCAGCTGGTATCATCATTGTGAGAGTGCTTGCCACCAGTCAGAGACTCTTCAAAAGCAGATGGGTCTGTATTAGATAGAAGGAAAGACAGGGTCATCATTGCTGATACTAAAATGGCAGAATCAGGGAATTAGAAATGAGAGAAGGACATTTCCACTGCCTACCACAGTCTACTAAGGTGTCACACACAGAAAGCTCTGGAAAAAGGGAGCATCAGGGACACTGGATAGCCCTACAGTTTGGTAACATGTTACAGAGCTTTTGTCTACTAATGCAAGAGCAGTTTAAGTGTGGGCCATACCAGCAACTATTGAAAGCCATGACTGCCTAAAGAGGGTGTGGGATCTAGAAGCAGTTTTTCAGGTGGCCATGCAGGTAAAATTAAAGAAAAAGGAAGACCAAGGGAATTAGGATCCCAGCTTTTGAGGCCTTTGAATGGTGTTTATGTGCCAAAATCTCTTTAGGCTACCTTGAATATCTCAGCCTTCAACTTCAGAGTAATTTCAGCGCAGTGAATCCAAACATGGAAGCAAAAAGGAAGCAATTGTCATGCAATTTCCTGTCCATAAAGACTGTTCTGTGCTCCTGCTGGATAGGCAAGAGAACACAGTGAGGTGTCCTAACTGGAATCATCTTAGTTCTCTCCTGCTTGGCCATCTTCGTGGGTGCATCTGCACAAGATGCTTTACTGTACTGCACATTAGACCAGTGTTTCCCAACTGGTGTGCCACAACACACTGGTGTGCTTTCAGACATTACCAGGTGTGCTACAGAACCTTGCGGGGGGTGGGGTAGGCAGGGGCACTGCACCCCAGCCAGCCCATGCCACCACCCACCCCCCTCCACTCTGTGTCTGGCCACATGCCTCATTGCCCCCAGCTCCGCATCTGGTCAGTGTGCTGTGGGATGGAAAAGGTTGGGAAATAGTGCATTAGACTAATCTAATGCACAGTCAAGCATCACTGTCTACATGTGCACAGCAATTTCTGTGCAGTAGGGCTGTGCAAAGCTTTGGTCGCTGATTCAATTCGGTGGAGATTCTGCCCAATCTGGTAGGCGAATCTCCAAAACCGAATCAAATCAGGAGACACTTTAATCTCTCCAAATTGAATCGGAACCCTCCGAATTGATTCAGAGATATTTGGAAAGATTCAATGATTCAGATATAGACACAGCTTTAAATGTTTTTTATACATACCTCAAGGTAGCAGGCAGTTCATGAATGCTGAGATGGTGGGGTGGATGGAGTGTCCCACAGGAGTGTGGAGGGGTCCCCAGTGCACTCGGCAGCAGACCTGGAAGTGGACCAAAAGCATTTCCGGTCCACTTCCAGGTCCACCGGAGAGCATGCGAGAAGCTCCCCCGTGCCCCCCTGGCTCAGCGACTGGTGGGTCTTGGGGGGCACCTGGGGTCTCCCTGCAGCTGATCTCTGAGCCGGGGGATGTGGGGGGCCCCCCAGTATGATCAGTGGTGAACCTGGAAGCGGACCCAGAAAGGGCCCCCCACACTCCTGTGGGACGCTCCATCCGCTCCAGCGTCGCAGCATTCATGAGCCGTGCCTGGTACTTCGAGGTATGTAGAAAAAACATTTAGAGCTGTGTCTATGACCAAATTGCTGATTCTCTGAATCAGCATCGAATCTTCAGATTTGGATGCAGCTGAATCAAATCAGGACAGTGATCCAAATCAACAAATTGAATCACTGTCCCCGATTTAGGCCAAATCCAAATCCAAATCATATACGGCCTGTTTCGTACATCCCTCCTGTGCAATAGATTAATATGCCATTTTCTAGTACCTGTTGTTACATCCAGTAACATCAATCCAGGCCTCGTACCAGGTATTAATTCCAAAACTAAAACACAGTTCCTCTAACCAATAACACGTTTATTAAGCCTCTAGCATATTGGTCTCCAACCTTGTTAAGTAGGAGATCACCTTTGGCATTTAAAAGCAGCCCAAGATCTACCATGTGCCACTGCTACCCACCGCTCCCACCCCACCCCCAGCCACCAGGTAAGTCTGTGGGGAGAGAAGAGGAGAGAGCAGATCAAGGCAGAGGGAAAAAAAATTATTTAGGAGCACGCGTCACCAGCAGGTAAGTCCCACCTCAGCCCCCCACCTCAGCCTCAGATCAACTCCAAGATCAACCGGTGGATTGAGATCCACTGGTTGGTGACCACTGCTTTAGCAGTTACAGGTTTTAGTGCTATGGTTAGTGTCCCAGGGAGGGACGTGCAAAAGATAATGACAAGCACTTACCTACAGCAGGAGACACAGCGCAGCAGGAGTGGAAGGAAGAGCCTGCGCAGCTCGTCAGCTGCTTCTTTGTTCAATTAGGGCCAGCCGGTGACATCAGCCTCGAGCGCCAGCTGGCGAAGATAAAAATGGCGGCCGATGCCACAGAAGGGAGGAGAGAGAGAGGCGGGGGAAAAGGACCCCAGCTGGCCTGGGGAAGGGAGGAGACCCCTATCTTGGATCTTACAGAACCCGGCAAACCAGGAGTGGATGGGAACAGCTTGGAGCAGGGCAACCTGCTGAGAGCCAGGGATGGGAGGCCATCAGGCAGCAGAGACCCCATGCCTGAACATGGACCGGAGACTTGGCGGGATCCCAGGTGGGAGTGTCAGAGCGGCCAGGGCGAGAGGGGAATTACGCCAGAGGGAAGGACCCTGAGAGGAGCCCTGGGGTGGTCACAATCGGGGTGGGTATCACCGCCATTTTCAGCCGGGTCAGCAATGGAGCGGGAAGAAATCCCAGGGACGACTGAGGACAGGAAGAGCATCCCTGAGCTAGAATGGTGGGGAGAAAAGTGAAGAAGCGGGGTGTAGTCATGCCAAGGAGCAGCTCTACGTTTAAGGTTCCGTTAATGATTTTGTCTTTCTGTTTCCCCACGTGAAGGGGTTGAAGAGGGGATGACCTTTTGAGTTCCCTGAGTATCGGGGCTAAGGGGAGAGCCTCGGAGATTTTCTTTATGTTTCCCTGAAAGAAGGGGCTGGAGAGAAAGAGGAAGGCGGGGTAGGGGCGAAGGGAAGCTGACCCCCCCCCCACCCCCAAAGGTCACAGGAGGGACACTCCTAGTGGTAAGGGCAGAGCTGAGAGGTCCCACGTGGGCGAACAGTCATAGCAGGCGGCCGGCAGAAGGGTGCGACTCCACAGAAGGGGCCGAGGCCAATGGGGAACAATGCACACGAGGTGGAGTGAGGCTGGGGTGTAGGGGTGGCGGAGCCCTGTGAATGACCATCGGGCGAACCGTGGGCCACCGAGCAAACCAGATGACTGACCCCGCCCACTGAAGAACCAACAAGTCGTGGTAGACAAGAGTGGGGAAGGCGAGTCATGGAGGAGACATCTGCTAAGCCAAAGACGCGAGACTGGAGAATGCCCAACACCTACCACCTGGGCGAAGGCTGCTCAAGAGCAGATACTTGAAGCCCGACAGCCACAGTTAGTTAAAAGCAATACATGTTCACCACCCCAAAGTACAACAACCTTGACAACATCAGGCCATGAAGTCTCATTTGGGGGCTCTCAGCTTCT